CTAATCAAATTGGAGAAGTCATTCCTTATATACCTACCTACCCAATACCTTGTCCATTGGGATGTCTTTTTTCAACACTCATCTCAGTCAGGCCCAACCTTCTCCTCTTCGAATTTATTTGATAGGGCTTTCAGTTCTCCACACCCTTACTGCTTTTTATCTTATAGCCCATTAGGTTCTATTGCTTTTGGGGATGTGGTCTTCCATGGAAGCCCTTATCCCATTGGGTCGAGTGTATATGAGGTTTCTTAAGTGGACTCTGCACAACCAATGGAATCTTGTGCAAAATCCATTGGAGGCTCCTGTTTCCCTTTTCCTTGTAGGCAATCTGAATTGGTGGTTGGACAAGGCTCGAATGTCGATGGGTGTTCCACTTCCTCCCCTTATCCAGATTTACATATCTTCAAGGATGATTCCCTTCAGGGCTGGAGGGCATGGGTCAATCAGCAGGAAGCTTCAGTTTGGTGGTCTCTAGTCAAAAATCTTACCATATCAGCATCCTGGAGCTACTGGCTATATGTCATGCCTTGGATAACTTTCTTTATCTTGCCAGAAATCATCTGATCATGATCCATACAGACAATTTTATAATGGTGGTTTATCTCAACCACCAAGGCACATCAGTTCTTGTTCCATTTGTAGTTGGACCTTGGATCTTCCTTTTTGTATCATTATATGTCATATTCTGGGTGCATTTAATTTTTTTACAAATCATCTTTCCCATACTGACAAATTTCATCCAATGGAGTGGTCTCTAGATCCTCTTGTTTTCCAGTAGCTATGCGTTCAGTGGATGCATTTGCCACATTCCTCAATAACAAATTACCTATTTTGGTCTATGGTTCCTCATCCTCTTGCTCTAGCTCTCTATGTGTTCAGTCAAAACTGGACTAACAATTACATGTATGTTTATCCTCCCATCCATCTTTTTCAAAGGGTGATCTCGATCATCCATGCCATTCCATGTCAAGTCCTTCTTATTGCTCCATACTGACCAGCACAACCGTGGTTCCCGTGGCTGCTCCAGCTCCAATCTGCCCCTCTTTTACCTCTTTCTCTATCCCTTATATACCAACCTCAGTCACTAGCATTTCATCAAGCCCTTCACATCCTCCATCTTCGTACATGGTTTTTATCCAGTCCCTGAGGAGGAGATCCAGTTTGTCCCAGCAGGTCACTTCTTTTGTAGCTTGTTCCATTCGATCTTCTTATATGGATGTTTATCCATATAAATGAAATGTTTTCTGCCTTTGGTCTTTGGGTCAGGGGTTTTCCCCTGCTCAATCCACTGTTCCTAATATTATGAATTTCCTCACTTGGCTGTTTGATCAGGTGCTTTCTGTCACCTCAATCATGGGTTATCAGGCTGCCTTATTCCACACTTTTATATTTTCCAGGTTCTGTAAATTTTTTACCTCTCCTATCCTTTCCCTCTTTTTGCATTTCTTCTGGATTAGTCATCCACCTTGGTGTGCAGTTCTTCTGCATTGGGATGTTAGTATGGTTCTTCACTGCCCCCACTTTGCCTCCATTTGAACCCCTGTCCTCGTGCTTGATTTTTCACTTATCTCTTAATACTTATTTCCTTTTCCTATCAGCCTGTGGACATTACTAATCGAATTTATTTACCGTTGATGTTTCACATACTTTTTATCATTCCACACATATTCTTTCCTTCCCGAAATTTCAGCAGCTCGGGAAGGTAATTCATCCTTCTCGCCAATTTACCTTCCTTCCATTTCCTTTTACTTTCATTCACATCTGGATAGGCTACTATGTCCTGTCTGTGGTCTTCATTGCTATGTTGCCAGCATGACTTCCTTCCATGGTGCCCATTCCTTGGCAGACATCCTCTGTTTGTGGCCTTTCTCCTTTCACCCTGACCAATTGGATTCAACTTTTGATTCAATTGAGATATTCTTCCGTATTGTCTTCTTCTTGTAATTTGTTCTAGGTGTCTTCTTATCAGATTAGGAACTTTACCTTTTCCCTGGCATCTCCTCTCCATCATCCCTTGGAGGAAATTCTTCATTTGGGCATGTAAACTATCCAACATATGTTCATATCTCACTATCTGCATTAGATCACTGTGTCTTCAGCTTTGGGTTATCGTCTTCCACCTGTAGCCATTCTTCAGGCTTTTGTGAGACTGTGACTGGGTAAGTTATCTTTTGTATACATATTTCTTTTTTTCTAGGGGCTTTTCCCTTTTTATTTTACTGTCTGTATCCTGCTCTGTGACGAGTGGTGCCTCACCAGGTATGCTTCTCATTGTCAAATTCACATTGTTAGGCCATGTTGACTGCTTATTTATAATTTCCATGGTCATAACATGCTCACTGTTTAGATGGGGTATTCCACAAGATCACTTATAGTTTTGTCCTTGTGATATACTTGCTTCAAAACATGCCCGTTTTGGACTGTACTCACTCATGGACTTCATGGTAAAGCAGAAGGGGACAGCTGCCCATCCCTGCCGTGCCTTTGATTTAATAAGTCAGATATGGTCTGCTTTTCAAAATAAGGTTTTCCTGGTCATCCATTGCTCAGTCTCCGGTGTTGTCATTCCTATACACTCTCCACTGCATATTTTCCTCCTTTTTTCTTCCAGTGAAGTATGGGAGTCCTTACCACTTTCCAGTTCCAAGTCACTGGGGTGGTAGGCCATGGAGACATTCTCCTGAATGCGATAATGATAGACAATACATATAATGATAAAACCATTCAGTTGAGAGTAGAACAGTGATGTTCTGCTGGTGTAAATGACAAGATGTCCTCCAGTCTAATGCTCCATCTCTTTATGGGTTTATCTGAGGAGATGTGGTAGCTTTGAAGTGAGCTGTCAAAATTGTAGTTCACCCCTTTGATTGGGATTCCTCATCCTACCCCCACATGGATGTCAGTTCCCACTGGCTGGGTTTTGGATTCAGAGTTCAACCAATCAACATAAGCCCTCACACATGTATTACAGGTGGCTCTGTTTCCTCACTCAGTTATACTCTTGTTCCTCCATCCGTGTTGTGGGTCACAGTGGTGGTACTTGCTGATTAATATAGTTCTTCCATTTATGCTATCTCGCTATGATTTTCTTATACTGAGGATGTTATTGTGCTGGGGTGATTCCTGTTTGAATGAGATAGTTTATATTACAGAGACATCTTTACTATACTGATCGTCCAGATGTTGGGTTCCTGGATCGGACAAACAATTTATCAAATTGCTATCACGTGTCCCATTCATAGACTGAGGGGTATGAGATTCCTTCCAATCTGCTGAACTTAAGGTGACGACAGTATGATCCTCATTCCTACCCCAACCAGATGCTTGGGTTTTGGATTGTAGTTGACTTGCCACTGGTATGATCCTCTTTCCTGCCCCCACATGGATGTCGGTACCAAGTGACTAGGTTTAGGATTGTAGTGGACTTGCTGGCAGTATGATCCTCTTTCCTACCCTCACATGGTTCTCAGTTCCTGGTGGCTGGATTTTGGATTGTAGTTGACGTACCGATGGTATGATCCTTATCTACCCCCATGTGGATGTCAGTTCCTGGTGGCCTGGGTCTTGGATGCAGTTGACTTGCCACGTATGGTCCATCACACCCTAGCCACTCCACACCTAGGAGCACATACTTTTACTTTCACCCACATTCCAGTACTCTATTTGTTATATGGTGGTTCAGAGGGATGTGCTCCTATCTTTTTTCCACCCATGTCAGCGACACCTCATTCCACACTGGACAAAGAGTATTCCTGGTACATGGTGCAGTCTTCCACATATGATACTCTACTGTGAGGATCTATTCTTTTAGGGTGTTCTTGGGATGCTTTTGAGGAATGCTGCTTTGTTTTTTCTTTGACCCAGCCCCTGTTCAATGTGGTATTCTAACTATTTATGTGAGGGGGAGGTAATGTACCGTACCAGAAGTTATAATTTTCCTGTACTGAAAATATATTTCTGATAGGTAATTACTCCTCTCACACTTCCCACCCTTCATCCTTTCTGAAAACTGGTGCTTCCATTTTCTGCCAAAACTCGGGATGATAGTTCGGTAGGATCGAATAGTGGGAGCCATATGCATCAGGAGAGTGTGTCACACTCTTATTGGTGGAGGGTTGTCACATGATGATTTACATGTGAGATACATTTGAACCAGTTGATTGTAAGTTACGTGGGAGCTTAAGGCTTGTGGTATGTGAAATTTGTTTTCATATAGAGGGCAGCACTGAACAAGAATAGCTATTTATGTGAGTGGAGGTAAGAACTTATTAGTAATACATTTTCAGTATAGGAAGATTATAACTTCTTGCAGCCATATTGATTTTTGGCACATCTTTTGACTGTCTGCCTTATCATTTGTGGCAGGCATGTTATTAATATAATGCTCAGATGAAAGTAGATTCATGAGAGATGTGTAATATCAGTGATTATTTTTGAATCAACAGTTCCTCATTATTTGTTAACAAATAAATGAGGTACACATACTTATATATGCAAACATCACTTGGAGTATTGTACTGTGTAATGCAAGCCATCATTTGGTGATACTGCAGATATGTGAAAAATGTGTTTTAATTGTGCTGAATATTCCAGTAATACAGTTAAAGATAAAAAAGTTAAGCATTTTAATGTTAATATTAATTTTTCAACATAATACCTGATATTCTTGTAGAAGATTAAAATCTAAGGTAACTGTTACAGACAACAAAAGAGAAACCTACAGAAACTACCCAAGTAACAGCTTTAGTGATATATAATTAACAGCTAAATTAGTATGATTATAGTTTCTGTTCTTGATGTTTTCAAGCTGCATAGTTATTACATTTTAATTGTTTCACTACTAGTTATACTCATATTAGCACAGATTCTAATATTACTTCTTTATGAGTTTTAATTGTATAACGCAAATAATGTGACATTCTGAGCCAGATGATATGGGGACTTATAACAACTTGGTTAGTTACCTACATTTATTCTACAAATTAATGGTTTCATTTTAGGAATGGTATCGACAAGACTTCTTTAATTGGTCGTAATATTCAACAACTGGTGCAAGCCTTTGCTGAGCGGGCTCGCCGTGTGAAGGAGATCATTGCCCAACCACCTTCTCGATCCCCAAGTATGTAGAAATTAGAATTATATCATGTTCCCTGTATATTATAATTTTGAAAACTATAATATCATATTATTAATTTAAACTCCACTATATATATATTATAAACAAAACATTGCACTATCAATATGTGGAAAACAAGTTAAATCATACTAAAGAAAAATTTTGACTCTAGGTCTGCCATTGTGAAAACAGGTATCTTTAATCGTTAACCAATTCATCTTTTCTTTCAGTATTTTTTCCAGTTGCCCATAGAGACTGATTTCAGATTTATATGTGAGCATGAACCAATTCATTTATTGATTTTTATTCCATCTCCAGGCCTAGTGGGGGGCAAGTTAATACCTGTTAATAATTTTAGGCTGCCACATAATATATGTCCATGTTTCACCATGTATGTTTTAGGAATTGCTGCATTTCATTTCTGTAACTGTCACATTAACAGAGTGTTGATAGTACCTCCTAATCCTCTAAGAATAGCCATGTTCAAGTCTTGCATGCACCTTATCCCCCCCCCTCCAAGTAAATTTGGCATCCTCTGCCTGTGCAGTATGTGGATGGATGAGTATATAGACTAGCATATGTGAAGTTGAATGACAGAGAAAGTACAATTAGGTAAGTAAATAAGAGGTAACCTTACAGAAATTTCTGCCCGTAGTGATAAACATCACTGAACAAATGTAATTGTGTCAAGAAGATTGGAGAAAACCATATGAAAAAAGTTGTACTAGAACATTAATAACATCTCAGTTTCAATACATGTTCTGTAATTTTGGATTTCAGTTCTGTTTCTATAAAGTTATTAATTATATATTTTATGATTCACTATCTATTTGAATTTGATATATGTAATTGGACTGTTTGTGTGTGTGTGTGTGTGTTTATATATATATATGTATTTTAAAGCTACTTCTATAATTATGTGTGTTAATTTAGAGGCTTTGTATTGTACAAGGTCATGCAGATATCAATCATTGACTCTTATGTTTAAACTTTGTTACCAAGGCAGTCAAACTAACAGGAAATATGAAAAAATTGACAGCACTGTTACAACTGTGTAACCTTAGGTTAAATCTGAACAGATACTACAAAGAAAAAAGAAAGTTTGTATGTCATGTATATTTGATCTATAGATAAATTCTAACAGCACAAATACTACAACATATATATATATTTGTTTGTAGTATATGCTGCAATAGTAACAACCACAAGCTGCAAATTAATGTGCAGTTAAACTTTTTTGTGCAGCTCCCCCTTCTAGACAAATTCAGAAAGAAAAGGAACAAGATCATCCACGCTTAGAGTCTTTAATTCAATCTGATGACTTACCTGCTGCTAATGACTGGATGGAAGAAGAAAAAGGACTTTGGTGCTTTAGGCTTTCCAGGCAGATAATTCCTACTGTTCCACAGGTTTTAGACCCACAAAGTTAGTAACTGTTAAAATATTTTAAAGATTTAATATAATAAATATAATTCAAACCTGCTAGTAGAAAATAAAAAGGAAAGTTATCTGTTCACTTTGTTTAGTCAAATTTGATTATTCAAATATACAAAGAAGGTTTTGGAATACAGTTGAAGTTGATAAAGGAAATAAATTTTGCCAAAATTTCATTACCATCTAAGATCGGACAAATCAACACTGGCTGACCTCTTTATTTGGACTTCCTACACACATTTGTAGAATACCTGTATTTATCTGCACTACATAAATAAATATATTGATTTATAATGTTATGTATGAGGTGATAACTTAAGACCTATTATTGCACACAAGAAATCATATTAAGGTTAGCTTGCAAGACATTATGCAAGAACAAAGATTTTTGACTTTTAAATGGCTATGTTTGTGGGTACCTCTATACCAGAAGCATCACTATCAAATACTATTCTTTGATTGGCTGTTCTAAGACATGTATCACCTGAATTTGTCAACAGTGGTAACCGAAACAGAATCTATCAACCAATACAAGAAAATATATGTCCATGAACCATTGATTGTAAACTCATGAAAAAGATGATTGAATAGCCTTGTAAAGTGCAAAAACATCAGCCATATCTCAGTTGACCAATTCCTTCAACATAGGTCAGGATATGACTATTTTGATTAATACCATGTGAAGGACATTAAGAAAATTGTCACGTAGCAGCCAACTACTAGTCCAAAATCTGTGTATTTCAGAGGCATTCAGTAATAATGTCTTTTATGGTACTTAGAAATTTAACTGTGGTTAGTGAATGGCTAGAAATGTGTGATGTGGCTAATAAGTTGTTTCACCTATCTCTGTTCTGATGGTCTGGTAAATTTAGAAAGGAAACTGCATCAGCCACTTGACCATGCTTGTGTTATTCTGGATGCTCAAACTGCTTAATTATATGGCAAGGGTAAGCCTTTGATTCTTTTAGAAAGCAAATAACATCCTCAGTAAATTTGAATCTTGTTGCCTACATTCTACAATACTGAATTTTCTTCCTAATGGACAAGAGCTGTTCTAAAATGATAGCATAGCAATCCACTATGCTCGTACTGCCACATGTTGGTTCAAAGGACATGACCTGCACACAAAAATGAGAGATTCGTGGATTTAATTTGTAGAAATAAAAGTGCAGCAACTTGGTACAGGTGGAATAGAAAAGAAAGGACATGGTGTTGGTGTCAAAATAAAAATAAAATAGAACACTTTAGTTAAAGAATAAAAATAAAACAGTTAAAATGTAAACACAAGTGATTGTTGAAGTGGCTGGAAAATGAAATTAAAGAGTCAACTTGAAGTACATATAATCTGCACAGGTGCCCCCTCCCCAGTAGCACTGCAGACTTACAATGCTAGAAACCGGGTTTTGATACCTGTGGTGGACAGAGCACAGATAGCCCATTGTGTAGCTTTGTGCATAACTACAAACAAATCTGCATAGGGATATGGTGCAACAAGGATGGGACATCTATAAAAGAGTTTTAGTTCTATTTAAAAATGAATATTTCTGTATTTAATCTGAATCTTCCCCAAAACTGCATATCACAAACACATTCTCCTTGAAGTTGCCCATTAAAAATAAATCTTTATTCCATGTGACAGTCTCAAAGTATCCTCCAAACATATGGTCAAATATGACACAATGTAACTAGCCCATGAAACAGCAGATAAGTTCCTTGTTTGGTGAAGTTACAAAAAAGTTGAATTTATCATGTGACATATTAAAAAGTTAAAATTCAAGGTGTTTGTGTAAATATAATTAAAATGCACAAACAATCAATGTTTTGTAGTACACAGTTAAAACTTTATTCTATGACCAATCAATGGTCTTAAAACAGAAACTACATGATTCAACGTTGAAATATGTAGTGGATATTTTAAGACCAGTGATCAGTCATAGAATAAAGATTTTGATTATGCACCACAAATAATGTTTATTGTTTGAGTATTTTAGTTATCATATGTCCTCTACCAGAGTTATAGTTTTAAAATCAGAATATAGAGAAAATTATAAGTTTTGTAAATATTAAGCATGCATTCTGGGAGATTAAGATATGTAGTATTTGCATCTTACAACAGTGGCTACAGACATCTTGCTTGGCCAGCACAATCATCAGATTTCAATCCACTTCACTATCTATGGGTTAAATCTGAATCCTCTTCTAACATGTGTGGACCAAATGTAGATCATATTTTTTGGAAAATGAGCTACAGTTTGTGGTATTATGTTTAAGTCCAGGATCTTAGTTGTTCTAAGAGCATGTCCAGCCTGAAACTTTATAAAGGTGGGGCTCCTAGTAAAGTGGATAGCCAATGTATATTAAAATATAGATGTTATTTCATACAAAATTCTGTGTAATAAAAATATAAACACTCATTTGTTCAATTCATTAAATATAATGTTTATAGAGTGCCAGATTTCATCCTGTAATGATCACATAGTTTTTATTTTATTTTATCAGTAATCATGTACCATTAATAAGTTTTAACAATCTTTTTCTCACCTGTCAAGTTACTGGCGTCATTCCATTAAATGCCTTAGATTTGTAAATTAATCATGTAAGCTAATATATTACTCTATTTACTTATCTAAAAATCTAATTATTTTTTTAAGTTATGATAAACTAATAGCAAAAAACAAATGAACAAATTTAACTTTTTAGTAGGTGAACTTCAATGCATTGATTGAACAATTCATTTATAACCTTTTGCCACTTCTATATGAATTTATAGTAACGCTGAGATTTGGACAAGGCCTTAGAATCTTGTGTAATTAGTAAATTAAAATGCAATAGCAAATTAAAGCCTCCAGTAAAAGTAAAAACATTCATAACATTAGAAATCTCCTGGAAGTTTGTTTATACTTATATTTTATTTTATAAATTCAATTCAACTTTTAAAAAATTTGGTAACAATTAACACACAAAATAAATAAGAAATAAACTAAAAATTGATTTAAGTTACTACTTTCTAATCAGTACTTGTGACAAAGGAAAGATAAAAGAAGAGGCCCAAAGCAATAATCATTAAAAAGAATATTCTGGCTTTTTTTTTTATTTTGATTGGTTAAAAGCTTTTGTGCTACTTTCCATGTCATTGTCCAGTACCTCTGACACTCAGATGCAGATAGTCTGTATTGCAGTGGTTTCCAGACGTTTTTCACTGACAACTCCCTAACTCATTTACCTTGATTTGTGTGACACTTCTACCGTAACATGCAATTTTTATAAGTTGTTTTTTATGTTCTTAATTATTCTTCATTTGCTGAAACTCTTATGACACCTTTACTAACTTATTACAGCACACAGCTTGGAAACCGCTGTGGTAATACTTTCGTGGTGGTTCTGCACTTCTATGGGTCATCTAAAAAACTGGTACTCGCAAGGAAAGTCACAAATATTAATCATATGGCAAAGTCTAAAAAACATAGAACAATGGATATCTGGAATTGCAGTATTATGTAGTATGACAAAGGAAATCCACTGATATAAAATAAAGTCAATCAATTTATCAGGTCATTATTACATAAATAATATATCTTGATCAATAAGATGATTTGTGTACAGTAGTCTCATAAATTCTGTTTCAGTTTTACACTTTCAAGTGAATTACAGATGTTAAAATACTTCATATTGTTCAAGAACCTAGGTTAGACTTGTTTCACTCACGTGGAAAGCCATTAAATAAACGAAAGCTAGAAAAATGTTGTAGTGAATAGGTTACAACTCTTTCTAAGTGTTGTTAGCAACCTGGGGAAAGCCATTAAATAAATGGAAGCTGTACAATTTCTGTTTTGAATAGATTATAAGTTTCTCAAAATGTGGTTAGTAGCATGTAGAACTACTTCCAAACTAATGGTATAGTTGCCTGGACACTTCCAACCATCATCTTCAACATGAGGTGATGATCACTTTCTGTCAATTCTGGGGTATTTTCCCAGAAAAACACAAAACAATTCATCTGTTCTGGTGCAAAGAACAAATTCAGTAGATTGGCCAGTAACACCTAGAGTAGTATTCATTTCGTAAATGCGTTGTACATCTTCTTGTAGTCAAATAATAATTTGGAGAGAATCTGGAACCAGACCTAACTTAATTTTCATAAAGAAACATGATACCAATGTCAGGGATGAAAGTGTCGAGTTGGAAGCATTAAGAATGGTCACTTTAATAACAAATTTATTATAATTTGAAAATGTGGTAAAAGTTTATATGTTGAAGTCAGTTCATCGAGTTGTGGCTTAACTTAATGAATTAGAAGACTTTTATATACAAAGTACTCTTATCCTTAACTCTTGCAATGATTTTGAAGAGCCATTTTGCATTTATGCAAGGTGAACTTTTTTATGCTTGATTGGTTGTTTTTTTTTAATTTGCATGTTCACTTACACATATTTAAAGCCATCTGGTGATTGGCCCTTTATGCCTAAAATTACATTTATGAACTAAATTCATGTACTTGTTTTTACTATTTTAGTGGTCAAATTTTGTCTTTGTAACAAAAAATGTTTTATCTATGCTGTGGCCTCAATTTAACTCTTAAGTTATTTGTGAGTAAACCCTATAAATTAAACTGTTTAGCAGCTTTCTTACTTCTAAAACATGTTTACCCATACAAGGCACCACCATAGTTTCTGATAATTTATGAACATCACATTCCATTTGTTTGATCTCATGAGCTTTATCCACGTACTTGTGTATGATACTGTTAAGTATCTGCTCGTTTGATAATTTCCTTAATTTCCGGTATAAATTCTTTCCGGGGAACTTCAGTGATACAAGTCCTTTCTTAATTAAAACTAGTTTATTCTTTCTCGATACAACTTTGTAATACACTTAACAACTTTTATAACACACACTATAAATCACAGTGATTCACAAACTTTACTTACGGTGCCTACTGTTCGCTTGACTCAATTATCTCTATCTTCAATCTATCTGAATATGTATCTCTTCTTTTATTTGCCGAGCTCATATACTAAAAAAGAGGGCGCCCGAACAAACTAGGAAATTCACGATCATTCGAGAAATTCCTTGCACACGCCACCAGCGCCAATGCGCCAGCAGCGTCACGTGACTTCCGCTGTCGTAAAAATACTATTAACCACATTTTGAGAAAATTCATTTCTACTATAAACAATTTTCTTGTTGTCATGTAGATATGCATATGTTCTATTTCGTTTATAATAAAACACAAAATAACAAAGCATTAAATATAGACAAACATATCTTGATAAATTAAATGGATTAAGAAAGCAAGAAATAGGGAATACTTATTAATCACCTTGATGATGTTATAAGTAACTATTTAGACTAGTATCATTAATATCTGATCAAAGTAAGCTACTTACATAGATCAGAACTAAACATTAACTCAGTAATGAATATAGCTAACTTAACATACAAATATTGTGAATGAAATTGAAAATATAGTACTGATATGTGATACAAAGTTTATCTTACTTGTGGCAAACTTAAATTTGAGAATTATCTTTTATTTTGTGAATGTTTATTGTAGAAAATATCAAAACAACCAATTTGATCAAGTTGTTATGAATCATTTGATAGAATGAGAACTCATTACAGATATAGGTTTGTTTTAATTTAATAACTATGATTCTGAATACTAAAATAATAGTGACACTGGTAACATGTGATGAGTTTCTAAAAGGATCATGAAGGCCCGAGTGTTTGCCAGACGCCCTCTATTTTAGTATATAAGCCCGGCAAATGATTGCAGATATAGAGATAAAGAGACAGATAATTGATTCAAGCGAGCGGTAGTAACTGTAAGTAAAGTGCGTGAATCGTTGTAATTTATAGCGCGTGTTGAAGTTAAAGTAACTGTGGAAATTAAGTGTATTGCAAAGTTGTATTGAGAAAGAATAAACTAGTTTTATTTAATAAAGGACTTGTATCACTGAAGTTCTTCGGAAAGAATTTTTACGGGAAATTAACAAACGAACAGAGACGTAACAATAGTATGAGTAAAGAAGAGTTTGTGACAGTTTTGATGTAGAAACACTGTATACAAATATTCCACTTGAGGAGACATTAGAACTAGTCATAGATTTAGTCTATCGGGAAAATAATAAAAATATAACATTTCCAAACGTGTTTCAAAACTTATTGCAGTATGCTATAAAGGAGTTACATTTTGTGTTTAATAGTGTATGATGGAGTAGCAATGGGATTTAAAGTGACACAATCACTTACCAACTTCTTCCTTTTCATTAATAAAAGTTAATGTTCAGAGAATAGTTGAGCCTATTTACTATTACAGGTATGTAGATGATACTTGGGGCCCGGCATGGCCAGGTGGTTAGGGCGCTCGACTCGTAATCTGAGGATCGCGGGTTCGAATCCCCGTCACACCAAACATGCCAACCTCCGCCTTTGTCTGGTCCCAAGTCCAGGATGAGAAAGGAGGAGGGTTGGGCGCGGGGCTAGCAACGCCACCCCGTAAAAACCAACCTGCTACAAGTAACTGCAACAACAACACCTTCCGTTGGCGTGGTGTTTTTGCGGCCCTATTCTCCACTGGGAGTTTACAGGAATAATAATAAAAAAAAAGATGATACTTATGTGATCTCCAAGCAGATCAGTTTGTAAAATATCTGAACGATAAACATAACAACATAAAATTTACTCTAGAACTTCAGCAATATACACTTGGATTTGTAGACACTTTAATATCAAATAATGAAGAAATTGAATATGTTTATGAGTTTGTATTTTCATTTCAAAAGCTCTATACCTGATGTATTCAAAAGATTCATCACAAGGTAATGAGCACATATACATATAACCAGTGATCAAAGTGGAGAGTAAAGCTAAGGTATGATACCCCCACTTTTTGTATAAGGTCATAGTGACTTCATGCTGGTATTCTAGGGTTAAGTAAATGAGAATGCTAGCAGTTGCATACCACATGTCAGTAGTCTTTACAGACTAAATTACTGGTCTTAATGCTCATATGACTAGCTATCTGCATGGTTCTTTGCTCTGCTAATCTATGTAGTACCCAGTATGTTATCGTGTCTAACTAATCAGTCCATCTTTCTGCATGTCACTGTTATGTACTAATCTATACTATATATATCTAACATGCTAGGGTACCGACTAATCAGTCTGTATGTCTAGCTATCTGCATTTCACTGTTATGTGCTAATCTTTCTATCTGCATGGGAGTCTACTAATTTACCTAGCTATCAGTATACCAGTTTACCCAACTGTTTATCAGTTAGGTATTGGTTTGTTAGTGTGTACTAACCTAGAGGGTAGTGTATCTTTCATATTATGTATTTCCAAACTTTTTTATGTAATTACTTTATAACTAAAATCTGTATGCTAATCTTCCACAATTTTAGTTGTATATTCTGCTTCAATCACGTTCTGTGATTACTGTTTTAGGTAAGACTTACATCACCTGGCTGTTCATTGTAACCCTGTGTTATGTTTACAATGCCTGGTCCCTCTTTTTACGGGCCATATTTTCGTACCAAACATCAGAAAATCTTTCAATTTTCCTGGGATTTGATTACTTTAGCGATGCAGTTTACCTCATTGATATCATTGTATTTAAAGTTCGAGTGAAGTTTCTTCATGAGGGATTCTGGGTGGTAAGTATTACTCTTTTTAATATGTAATACAAACAAGTACAAGAGGTTATAAATTATATATTTTGATATAAGATTATGTACTAGAAGCCCTTAAAGACAAATATCACAAAGAGATTGAAAATAGTAATTATGTACTAGATATTTTTAAGCAATAAATCATGACATATAATTTAATGTATTGGAACAACGTAAAGTTTAAACTTGAAAGCTGTAGAGATATTTAAATATAACAGAATTGTAACTAGAATGATTTGAGTGGTGGGTGGTAAAAAACAGTCTAGCCCATAGATGCACGTGCCTGTGGCTACAGTCATTGTACCATCTCCCCTTCGGCTCAGCAAACAAAAACAAACAAGTTTATTATTTTAATGTTTATAATTCTAATGTGTTTTAATTGTAATGACTTTGAAAATTTTAAAATTCCTTCGGAAAGCCCGATAAAACACTCCACACAAGCAGTCACTAGACAAACACGTGTTATAAGGTGAACAACGAGTCTAAAAAATAAAGGCAGAGACAAATTTTAATCTAGAGTGAATTTTATTTTTCTTATTGATCTATCTTTAACAGCAGTTAATTGATACAAATTAATCACAATGAGATTAATAAAACACATGATATACTTGATATTTTGAATATCTATAAACTTTTGAAAATATTTTTACACATCATATAAACTTTTGCTGGAAAGAAAATAGGCTTTGTACGGTATCTACTGTAGATGATATTGTCTGATATGCCACACTAAACACAGTTGAATTAGTATGGCGTGGGCCATTTGCTCAGTTTCGCGTGCAGGTTTTTTGCTGTGGACTTTTCTTGAAAAGTGTTTGTTTCTAACAAGTGAATTGCGAAGTAAACAGTACTGCGACATTGACAAAGAAATTTTTCATGCTTATGGTGAACTTTTCTCAGTGATATTTAGTGCCAAGCGGCAATAGTCACATTGCACAGGAATGCTAGGCGGGCAGAAAGAGTCCTGGGCGGCCCCACCCACCGTAGCTACAACCCTGAAATGTATATATATTATGAGTTCCTTATAAAAATAGCAGTTTTTTAATTTTGCTACAAGCGTTAATGACAGTAATGCCTTCCATTCAACTAAATTTCATCATGAATACTCTTCTTAAACAATTTATCAGCGAAAACAGTAATGCCATTAAGAGTATTGCCTAATGTGGGCTTTCTTCAATATGCTTTCATATGTGTCCTGATTTTCTTGTGTAATTTGATGAAGTTATATTCAATTGAACATTTATCTTGAAAATTTTCGCGCATTTTTTTAAAATATATTTAGCCTGTATAGTTGGATCATGAAACAAAATCAGAATGATAAAATGTTTAAGATATCCACACTTGAATATGTTTATAACTTATGTACTGATCTATTGTTCGTAACATTGCTAGAATTTATGTAATACTGTCAGTTTTAAATAAATGTATGAGCAAGGTTCTATTAACATTAAATTTCGATAAGGTGTTACCTCATCTCACATAAATAGCTATACACCTGGAAAAAGTTAAGCACCCCCGTGTTTTTCAAGTGATTCAGATTCGACGTTCTTGTGACTGAT